CCTAGCTATTTAAAGAGGTGGGAGGATGACCTAGGAGTCCCTAGGGTCATGCTCCACCTGTTTGGGGTGCACCCCACGTGGGCCCTACTTGGGCCTGGGTCCCAAATGAAGTTACAAGTAGGGGTGGGCATTCGGTTTGACCAAAATTCGGTCTCGGTCTTCGGTCTTTCGGTCATTTTGGTCTTTGAAAAGTGAGGACCGAATTTCTTCCTAAAAAACTTAGGACCGACAAATTCGGTCTCGATCTCGGTCTAACCGAATTTTGACAGAGAAGAGACCGGATCGAACGCGACCGCATCAAATCCCCCACCGCAGTCTGGCTGGAGACGGAGGCGACGCGGTGGCAGCATTGAGGCAGAGGCGGGCTCGCAGAGGGCGGACCGACGGAGGCGGCGTGATGTAGGCGAATGTCACGCCCGGAATTTCTATCCAAAATTCCGAACGCTTACATGTGTGTTAAACCCTCGTCCAGGAATCAACCGAGGCACACAATGACAAATTAATAATAGAGTACAAATAAATAACTATTTAATATTCGCAAATAACTAATTATTACAGAGGTAGATAGTTCCTCTCAAAGAATAACGTTCTACGCAGCGGAAAAAAAAAACTATAACAAACTACGGAACAGCTATGGCGACTCCACTCCACAGGCATCTTAACCAAGAACAAGCCTAATCCTCCAGATCATCACCTTCACTGAGATACTCCTCCTCTGATGAATGAATATTGCAAGAATGAGCATATAACATACTCAACAAGTCACACAGCAAATATGCAAGTGCACAAGATAACAAAGGATGGCATAATATAGCTCATTTGCAGAAACAGCATTTAATAAATATTTAAGAGAATAGTAAAAACAGTTGAATAATTAATCAATATTAAATAACACCATACAACACACCCATGTTGCATAGGCCCAACCACATTTGAACAACCAACCCCAGTTGAACAAATTAAACCTCCAAACCAGGAATTATCCATTCCAAACCAGGAGTCAAATTAATTACCACATTATTAACATTGATGAGTAGTGTGAGACTAATCACGAAAAACATTGCTCAACTCACCCATAACCGCGGGTACGGCTATTCGAATAGTTTAAACTCTGATGAGAGGTGTACCACTGTACCCACAAGACACAACCCCACATCATGTCACCAGGTGCCTCAATACCACCACGGTACCTCGGAGAGGAGTTGTGACAATACCCCTCGCACAACATAACCCATTACGGCGCACCTTTCCTGGATCATAATCACCCCCTTATAAACAAGGCATGGACTCCCCAGCGACCCCTATGGACTTCTCGCCACTTCTCAGTCTGGCGCACTTTAATGAATCACGCTATACAAAAGATAAAGCCGTTGCCCACGCTGGCTTGTGGTTGGCACGATAAATGTTTCACAACAGTAGCTCGCGAACCGGTCCTTAATTGTCATGAGCACAACCATCAAAACCATATGCTCACAACCCACCTTAACCAGATTTTAATTATCAATTAATATTTAACCCCTTTAGTTAGCTAATGTTTCTAAGCATGGCTAAGCAAACTTACATATAGCATTTAGCTGAACCAATCCAATATATAAGGTTCATGCTAATCAAATTATAACCCATAGGAAAATAAAGTCATCTTCGGCCATTATTTAATTGGGAAAGGTTCACCACCCGATGACATTCGAAAACAATGCATAGTTGAAATAAAATAATAGCTTTAAACGGGTTCAACATGCTCAAAGGGTTGTTTGGGATCTGTGTGACTTGCCTTGGGCTTCCGCAAACGCTTCGGAACCTTCCTCAACGGAAACACTCTCCTCCGGAACGTCGGAAACTAAAGCAATTAAACAAAAAATCAACAAAACAGTACAAAAACAAGCATAAACAGTACATGTGGATATTTTTACATGTAGATCTTGATTTTAGAAAAATTTAGCAACTTGAACCACCTGAAACGGATCTACGGTTATTTAGTTATGATTTTCCGAAGTTTTAATCTATTAGAAAATTGGGAAAAAGGAAAACTGATGACGTCAGCATGACGTCATCAATGGCCGGCCGGCTAGGGTTGGCCACCTCGCCGGAGCTAGAACGGTCGGCCGGGGCTTTGGAGGACAAGTACACGTAGAGGACGACAAGACGAACCCAACGGTACTCACCACAACGACAAACGACGCACGACGACGGCCGGCGACGAGGAGGCGACGGCGGTGGCTCGGCTTGCGCGGCGACGGCGAGCTACGGCGACCGGCAACGATGGGGAAGGGGCGGCCGAGGTTCCCCTCACCACGGCGCACCTAAAGACGGCGGCGGCAAGCGGCGGCGACGGCAGGAGCGGCGTGGCGGCGCAACCGAAGACGGCCGGCGGCGGCGGGCTAAAAGGCGGCGGCGCGGCGGCTAGGAGGCACGGGAGACCACGAGAGAGAGGGCAAACGAAAGAGGGCGACGAGGTGGTCCTATATATAGCCTTGGATTGAAGAGATCGGACTCCAAACGAGAGGAATCGAAGCCGGAAACAAAAAACTCGGACAAAATACCCAACGATTTGCTCCGATTCTTGAGGGGAAAGATAGAGGAGAACGAGAGGATCAAAACCCCTCAAAAATCCGGAAGAAACGGGGTCGGATTGGAGCGGATTTGAGAGGAGAAGGCGGCGCGGCGGGGCGGCTCGGGCTCGGTCGGCCGGCCGGCTGGAGCTTGAAGAAAGGCCCGACATGTGGGCCCCACATGTCGGTGACACGAGAGAGAGGAGGGCGGGCGGCGGCTGGGCCGGCTTGGGCCGCGCGGGAGAGAGAGTATTGGGCCAAAATCGGCCCAATAACCTAAAGGAGGGGTTTTTGAACTTTTTAAAATAAAACAATTTGTGAAATGTTGTTTCAATTATTAAAAATACTTCCCTTGCTCAAATAATTCCCAGAAAATTCTAGAAAATAGAAGAGCAAGCATAGTATTTAATAAAATTTTATCTAGCTCATTTTTATGTTGAAAATTTTCCTAGAAAATTAGGGTTTAGCTTGTAGGCTTTTAAAATAATTTCTAAAAATGATTTAAAATATGCATTTTTAATTTAGTTGATTTTTAGGGCATGACAGCGAAGGGCAGAGGCGGCGTCGGCGCGACGGAGGCCGAGGACGGACCGGCGGATGCAGCGCCGGGGCGATAGAGGTCGAGGATGACGGGCCGGGGAGGCGGCGCGATGGAGGCGGACTGGCGGAGCACGGAGGGTGGAGGGCGGAGGGCGGAGAGCGGAGGCGGCGCCGGTGCCAGTGCGGTGGAGGGCTAGAGGCTGAAGGCGGAGCCGCGGAGGTGGAGGCGGCGCCGGCACGGTGGAGGCCGAGGCGGCACTGTGGAGGCGGAAGGCGGAGGCGGTGCCGGCGCCGTGGAACCGGAGGCGGCGCGGTGGAGGCGCCGTGACCGAGCCGAGCGCGAGTGCGCGACGCGATGGGGAATTGGGGAGAGGCGGCGCTGCATGAGGCTCGTGGGACCGTGGGAGGAGGGAGTGGCTGTGTGGTTGCCTCTAGGGTTTAGTAGTTTACTGGGCTTATTGGGCATCCTAGGCTTATTGGGACACAATTCGGTTTTCTCGGTTAATTCGGTTAACTGAGAGCAATGACCGAATTACCCGAATAAATTTCAGTCTTTCAATGGCCAAGACCGGACTACTAACCGAATTTCTCGGTCTTGGTGTCGGTCTTTTCGGTTCGGTTCTTCGGTTCGGTCTTATTTTGCCCACCCCTAGTTACAAGCCCATAGACCCATTGTAGGTGATGTAACACCTTGTTTCTGTGATTGCGCCAAACAAGATGGAATGCGCCAAACAAGCCCATAGGCTCATTGTAGGTGATGCAACACCTTGTTTCTGTATAGTATTTTCTTTTTAAAAAAATTATGGGACCCATCTGTCATACATCTCCTTCCCCTCTCTCTCCACTATCTCTCTCACAGGGCGCGCATGGGTGGGAGGTGGGCGGTGGCGGGGGCGGCTGTGTGGCGAGCGGCAACGGCGACGCCACCTCCTCACCGCAACCGCTCTGAAACGACCGACATATTCCACAAGAAGAGTAGAATATAAGTCTATAGCATATATCTTCATAAACATCGTTTACTCAGAGATATGCACATCAGAGTAGCATAGCAGAAACATCGTATTGGTTCCAGTTATTACAATACCATAGATACAGCTCAAGACAAGCCTCGAGCGATAACAGCGTAATAATACACAAACCCTAAAAGCTCAGCAAATATGCAGTACACTAGAAATTCACAAGTACTGCTACAGATATTGCTACTAACCATATTAACGTTACTGCTACTACTACAAATACTACTACTGCCACTGCTACTACCATAGCCACTACAGGCACTGTATGAACCATGCATATCATATCATAATAAACTTATTGTTTTTGCCGTCGCTACGTGGCCGCATTCCTCTTGCTACAGTGCAACAGTGATCCCTCCGTTCGTAGCCGCACGATCTGATACGTTTCTTCGATCTAGTTATATAAAAATTATTATAGTCAATCTCAGCATTATCATAGTCCTTTCTGGTTGTCATCCATGACTTGAGTTCCTTCACTTCCAACCAAAATTTTCATTAGAAATTAGGGCCGTGTATAGTTCTTTGGGCCAAAATTTTTTTAATTATACGTACACACCTTTGAAGTATTAGATGTAGACTAATAATAATACAAATTACAGATTCCGCCTGTAAATTGCGAGACGAATTTATAAAGCCTAATTAATCTGTCATTAGCAAATGTTTACTGTAGCATCACATTGTCAAATCATGGCGCAATTAGGCTCAAAAGATTCGTCTCACAATTTACATGTAAACTATACAATTAATTTTTTTCGTCCATATTTAATGCCCTATACATATGTCCAAACATTTGATGTGATATTTTTGGCCAAAAATTTTTAGGATCTAAACACACCTAGGTTGGGAACATAGAGTATGTTACGACCGAAATGGCAAACAATAAACAGTCTTCATCAGCAAGCAATGCAGCAGTATATACACACAAGGACAGGTGAGGTGAGTTGCACGTTTTGCTACGACCATGGCGTTCTTCCTCCCTCTCGCGTTCTCCCTCTTCCTCGCCGTCATCTCCGCCTACGTCCTCCAGCTCCTCGCCGACGCTCGCCGCCGGCTGCCGCCAGGCCCGTGGCCGCTGCCGCTGATCGGCAACCTCCACCAGCTCGACCACCTGCCGCACCGCTCCCTCGCGCGCCTCGCCGCGCGCCACGGGCCGCTCATGTCGCTCCGCCTCGGCACCGTGCGCGCCGTCGTCGCGTCGTCGCCGGAGATGGCGCGGGAGGTCCTGCAGCGGCACAACGCCGACATCGCCGCCAGGTCCTTCGGCGACTCCATGCGCGCCGGCGGCCACTGCGAGAACTCCGTGGTTTGCCTGCCCCCGCGCCGCAGGTGGCGCGCCCTGCGGCGGCTCAGCACCGTCGGGCTCTTCTCGCCGCGCCGGCTCGACGCCATGAGGGCTCTCCTGGAGGAGAAGGTGGCCGAGCTTGTCCGCCGCGTGTCCGGCCACGCCGCGCGCGGCGAGGCCGTGGACGTGGGCCACGCCGCGCACGTCGCCGCGCTGGGCGTCCTGTCGCGCACCATGTTCTCCGTCGACCTCGACCCCGAGGCGGCGCGCGAGGTGAGCGACATCGTGGACGAGGCGTCGGTGCTGGGCACCGGGCCGAACGTCTCCGACTTCTTCCCGGCGATCGCGCCGGCCGACCTCCAGGGAGTTCGCCGGAGGATGGCGAGGCTGGTGAAGAGGATGTACGCCATCATTGACGAGCAGATCGAGCGGAGGATGCATGGCCGCACCGCCGGCGAGCCACGCAAGAACGACCTGCTCGACGTGATGCTGGAGGAGGGGGAGAGTAAAGAAGATAGCAACGAAATTAACCGTGATGCCATCCGTGGACTTTTTACAGTGAGTACTTGTACAACTTGCGGACGGATATTAATTTGTGAATAAAACAAACTTTTATATACGTGTTCTTAGCGATCTAAAACCATCAGCTGAAAAATAAACTTCGATTAAAAACCTCAAAATCAGATCCAAATTTAAGGTTGAAATTCAAATTTTGACTGATAAATATAAGCATAAGCGAAAAGATAAGACCCTTGTTATCATGCATGACTAATTTATTTAATTTAGCTAAAATTATTGAACCAGCTTTCTAATTTAAATTTGGATTACAATTTTTCGTTTTGATTAAATTTTGTAATTTAACCAAGTAAATTTCATTGATAATTCTAAACTCAAGTTTCATTTGCTGTAGGATTTGTTCACTGGTGGAGAGACGACTTCTCACACAATGGAGTGTGCAATGGCAGAACTATTGCAGTGTCCAAACTCGATGAGAAGGGTGCACGAACTCAAGAGTGTGATAGGCAGCAAACAACAAATGGATGAACATGATATTACCAAACTGCCCTACCACCATACGAGGCCGAAGCCACGATAGAAATACAAGGTTACACCATTCCTAAGGGAGCGAAAGTGCTTATAAACTTGTGGGCGATCAATCGATGCGCCAACACATGGACCGAGCCAGATAAGTTCATGCCAGAGAGGTTCTACGATAGTGACATTACTTTCATGGGGAGGGATTTTCAACTAATTCCTTTTGGAGCTGGAAAGCGCATTTGCCTTGGATTGCCACTAGCTCACAGAATGGTCCATTTGATGCTTGGCTCGTTGCTACACCGATTCACATGGACATTGCCAGCTGAGGCTGGGAAAAATGGAGTGGATATGAGGGAGAGGTTTGGGTTAACACTATCATTTGTTGCTCCCCTCTATGTAATAGCTCAAGAAATACAATAAGAAACATGTGACTTTTTTATGATGAAGAATAGAAGAACATTACAAATGTAATGCGATGATAGCTGCTCTAAATATGTAATCACCCAAGATATTTTCTGATACACGAAGTATTGTAAAACAAAAATAGGATGTGAAGTGAGTGTAATTCAACTGGCAATGTTTCTTGTGATGAAACCTACCTATCCGGTTATTCAACTTGAGATGAGTGCTCGTATTTACGGCTAATTATTCTTTCAATGTTACACGACATATCTGTTGACAGCGAGACACCTATAATGACTCTATGAATCTCAAGATATGCCAACCTAGTTTTCAGAGGCAATTACAGAGGTATGGTGTGTTTATAAGGAGGAATGTGTGTGCATTTATATAAGCACCTGCGACTTTGCCGTGTTTCGTGAAAAAAAGGGGATGCCATATATATGGTGATTTCCGTTGCTTTTGCAAACCAATACTCTGTATCACTTCATAGTATGGAGTAATACCAAACGGGCTCATGATCTTATTCTCCTCGTTGCTGTGCAGACTTGACGACTCTTGAAATGAACAACTACGTACGCTTGATTTCTACAAATTGTAAATCAGGGCCGTGTCCTTATTTATATCAGAAAAAGAAAAACATCAATAAGCTACAGAACGACAAGTAAAGAGAGATGAATAATAAGAAATGAAGCAATAAGTAGTACCTAAGGTAACTTCAAGAACTCATTTCACCTGTTTAATGTTTATCCGTTATATACAGCTTATTCTCCCATCCAAGCAAACATATATTATTGTACTTCCTAACGATGATTGCTCGACAGAAGGAAAATTTTTGCTAATTGGGTTCATTGTGCACACTTATAATATTCACTAGTGGATACCCCACATATTGCCGTGGGAATTTTAGAAATAATTATAAAATAGTTCAAAGAAAACAATTTAGAAAATATGTAGTCATAATGCTTAAAGGATAATATTTAAACTTCTATAACAGTTTAGGCATGACACATGATCGGATACGATGAAGCATGAGAGAAATGCAGTGGGTATTATTTTTCTAAGGTGGCATAACTCAATTAATGTTGAGCTTTACGATAATAACTATGCTAAGTGGATTGTCAATGAATATGATATATGAATGGTTGTGATCAAAGTATTAATAGGAAAAAAAACTATTATTTTCTAGATGATGTGGCTCAATGCATAATGAGTGTTTGGTTCCAACAATATATGGTATAAAGATCGAGTAATAGCACTTCTTAAAAATCAGAAATAATCACACCAATAATTATGTCTATAAATTAAACATCCACTGTCTCATATCTTCTCATATATAAACTAGTTGATACCCCGCGCTTTGTTGCAAATATATGGATGAGTGATGCATGTATACATCTATCTATCTATTATATACTAAAGTCCATTAATCTTCTTATAAACGTTCCTAAGCCGTCATTTGGCATCCCTACAAACGCTCCTAAATCACCATATGGCATTTTATAATCTCACCGTCGATTTTCATTTAAATTGGTGGACTAAATAGACTGTTATATTAGATCTATTTTTGCTTCCTCTCAGTATAACGTGCGTATCAGAAACTAGCGCACGTACTAACGATGGAAACAAAGAAACGTACATAAGTACGACAAGAAAAACTATTAAAAAACCTTTAGATATTGTTTTATGCACGAGTAAAAAAAACTATAACACCCTTAAAATATGTATGTACATCAGTAGAAAAAATTATATCGTCTTTTTAAATTAAGATTTTCTACTATAAAAACACGCAATATGTTAGACTACTAGATTAGCCCGCTTCTCTTAATAAATATTACAAAATTTGATAACCCGGAATATATTATTGAATTATTGCGTTAAGGACCATAATTTAATAATTTAATAATATTAGAGAATTTAATATTTTGTTTTATATTAATTGTTGAACACTAAAAATCTATTAAACTTTCTTAAAACGCTCTCACGCTGCCACGTGCCAATCCTCAAAACGCTCTCAAACTGTCATATGAAGCTAATAAAATTCATCCTTCAATTTTTACTTAAATCAGTGGTTCAAATATTTTTAGCCGTCAAACTTAATTAAGATTAAAATAACCTAGCGCCGCCGGAACCACGGCTCAGCGCCATCGTCGTAGTCATCCTGCTCCTGCTCGTATGTCCCACCATGGCTGATGATTAATATTCACTTTTGGCTCTTTAATTTTGTTATTCACACACACATCACACATGTACCTGTGGTTTCTTAGTGAATACACTGGTTGATTTGCTTGCTGGTTAGTAAATATACTCCATCTCCTATTTTCTCTCTTTATTTTTACGTACAGCAGTATCAGATAAAATTTTATCATAATAAATTTTAAACAGTCATAACTTGAAAATTATAGTAGAATATAACATCTTTTAGCTATGAATCTGGATTTGTATATATATAGGTCCGTAGCTAAAAGTTGGTATATTCTGAGATGGAGGAAGTACATCACATTTTTTTATATACTCAACATTATATTTACAACTAAACTGATAATTTAAAACCCATATTGACTTGTACTTTAACTTAAAATAGATATTATTATACTGTAAGAATTTGCTACATAATTTTAAATTAGTAGACTAAGCCACCGCATAAACATTAATAACCTTGTAAAAAAATATGGTTTTTTAGTCACATGATTTCATATCCGTGGAGAATTCCTGCACCGCCATGTGACGCTTTAAGAAATTATGAGAGATTTCTACGAATTCTATGAAAAAAATAAAACATCTAGCTATTAATTTTTATTTAATATGATAAACCCATTAGTTTCAACCAATATCCCAAACACCACCCTGGCCTATATGTGGATGCGGACATGCTTACTCCCATCATCCGCCCCTCCCCTGTTATTCCCCAGTTATTCACTCGCTCTCTCTAAATCATGTACCTATCCCATTTTTTTTTGCTATACTTTCGAAAGCAAATTTTGTGATAAAAAATTAAGAAAACTCTAAAACAAAAATATACAACTATTTTTATCCACTTATTTGTCATATTATTTATTACTAAATTTATACTTAAAGCTTATTTTCCATATATGTTAACATTCGAAAGAAAGAAATATGTTACTTTTGGTTATGTTTGTTGAGTTGCGGTGCCACTCAACCAATTGTGAAAAAAAAATGAAAAAACAATGATATAGATTTTTATCGTCCTATGCAAGTTCACAACAATTAAATTAGGTCTATGATAATAATGAAAGTAAAATGGACCTAACTGTAAGTGATTGTTCCAAAAAAAATACTTCCCTCATTATGAAATTATTGTAAGTCAAAATAACATTATTAGGTTAGTCATAAACTACTATAATTCAGGGTTTTAGTATCTACTACTAATATACTATAGGAAACAATGAGTAAATATAGATCTTATTAATTAATAAAACTATCATTCTATTTTCAGCTAATAAGGTAATAGTAACTGAAACAAATCAAATTTGTAACTGGCAAAAATATATATTTATAATAGTTTTTCTACCAAAATCCATTTAATGCAGTGGACCTATTATTTTGTATCATTAGATCTTAATAATCCAAGTTCCAACAAACCAAATCTAGGGAAAATTTGAAACATGCCACAAAATTTGTGATATGCCACCCTGACCCACATGTCATTGACTCATGTGGGTCCTACATGTCATTGAGATACGGGTGACATATCTCAAATTTTGCAAAATTAGGGTGGCATGGTTCCAACAAACCCTTGAATCTATAAAAAAAAATCCCCGCCCCTCATATCCCATCTGGTCGTCCTTCTTCCAGTGCCTTATATTCTCTCTTTTCGTAGTTATATGCACACATACTCTCCCCTCCTCTTCTCTCTTCTCTCATTCAATTCCTTCCTCCCCTCTTATTTTAACTATTATATTAATATAGAAACAATAACAACTGATCATAATTCTTACGTTATATCTACTTTTCTGTTGTTTGGACTGTTGTTTAATTTATTTATAAGTAGATAAATAGTTTAAAGCCCATACTACCAATGAGAGAATTTGTATGTTTCGTCAAGAAAATTAACTAGATTGAACCAATAATTGGATAAAAATATATATAATTAATTAAAATGCTTTGTATTTTTCACTTAAATTGGAAAAAAATGCCTATTCTATTGCCATAACCAGCTTAAAGCGTTTACATACTAATATGATAATTCAATCTATTATGTACAATATACCGTGACATTAGGAGTTTTTTCATATATTATTGCATATATAATCTGCACAGTGAAAGCAAGTAGATGGTTTAAAAGTTATATTTGTTACTACAACATTTAAATTTTAGGACTTATGTTGAATACGTATTTAAATAAATACTATAGATCACACATATCATACGGAAACAAGATATGTAGATCTCTCCTCTTTATTCATTCGTATATATATGCAAATTGCATGAGCATGCATGAACCAATTGGAAGGAGGGGTAACTTGATGGTACAAATAAAACATATTTATCAGTAATAATAATTTTGTAGGAGTTGTTTGAAAATAGAGCACCTAAAAAATTCAACTTAAGCACCTTATTTTTAATATACACTTAATTTGTTTGGCATTTGTTTTAAACTAATTATGTCAACCTCCTTTCAAGATAATAAAAAATATTATAATTAATTTCATACCGGTATGAATTAAATATTTTATAGTTTAAAGCTAACACATAGGTTCAAACAATTATCCAAATTTATAGAGAAATAGTATTTTTAAAGTGTGGTAGGTGTCATCCAGTTGATATACATTCTATCACTATAAGTTTTTTTTAAAAAATACAAATCCACATGAATGCCCGTGCAATACATGTCCGTGCGAATGCGCGGGCTACCTTCCTAGTTATAGAAATGATAGATGTATATGCTTAAATAATGTGAAAATAATAAGATAATGATTCGACATTGCTTGCATATTGAGTTCTTAAAAATACAATAAAATTATAAATGATATGTCATATTTGTATGGTATTTAAAATACTCAAGATAATCATTGGTAGTGGATGATCATGTGGCAGACTTGTATGTGATTTAAAATAATCATAATAATTGCCAGTGGGTGATGATGTAACTCACTTATATGTTGAGTTTTGGTAGTTAGTGGGCATCAACTTTATATAGTAAGACACTATACTATTTAATGTGTCCGTGGAATCCACGTCACTAAAAGGAAATT